CCTCCCCATCCGCCCGAGGCTATAGGAAGCCCGGGCGGAAGTTACGAAATGAAAGGGCAAAGTTGCCCACATCCAAGATGGCGGCCGCAAAAGCCGGGGCCTCGAGTAGCGGCCGCCGCACGAGCGACGTCTGCCGCGGATGCCGCCGCTCCACACAGTCGGCTGCTGGGACAAGAGCAGCGCCCATCCCCCACCCCACATCCATGTGAGGACCCCCTGAAGTCCGAAACCGAGATCGAGGACGGCGGCCGCCCCCGGGACGAATCCCATAGGTGTCGGGGAGGACCACCCGTCGCAGCCGACCCACCGTAGCAGAGTCTGCATGCTCTCGTCGGTCAGCCAGGGGAGACTAAAAGGCTCTACAATCATCCAGCCTGTCGCCCTGGGGACACTTGCTAGAAGAAAAATCAAGTCAAACGGAAGAAAGGAAAAAAATTATTCAGAGAAAATGTTTTAGCTCCTTACTCCTGACGCTAGGCAAAAAACTGGGGACTGGAGACTTGTCAGCAAGTGAGGGGTTGGGCCACCAGCAGGGGCCGCCCCTAGGCTGTCTTGTCTTTTTGTTATGTGCCTAGCGTCCTACTCCTGCAGGTGGCGATATACCCTACCATTCAGGATCTACGATCTGTTGCCCTGTGTCCTTCAATGAACGGGAGAGAAATGATCACGATGGGAGCATCTGTGTATCCTCGCAGCAAAAAAAGCCATATTGACGAACTGGCTCTCACCGACCACCCCCTCCTTGAAACAGCTTGCAGACCTACTTACCAAACTGATATCGCTGAACAAGCTTGATGCCCACTATAATAGCCCCTCCACAGCGAAATTCTTTGCTACCTGGACCTCATTTATTGTATCAACCCTATCACCAACTCAGCTAACGGAAGTAATGTTATTGTTCAAACATACGGTCTGGTACCACACCACAAAATTGGAAGGATCGCTAGGGGTCCTAGATGTCCTTTAATGCCCCCCCCCCTGCTTTGCTTTGGTGCCTCCCAATCATTCAAGCATTCACTTATTTAATTATCTGTCCGTCTTAGCTTAGTTTACTTCTAGTTCAATCTAATTCCCTCTGGCCCCTTATAGTCTCATCAGGACCCCAACATGCTCAGGTGAATCTGAGATGCTACCAGGTGATTGCAATGCTTGCTTGCTCACTAGTTTGTCTTGAGTCGAAACCATGTTATACCACATGTATGTATCTTTTATAAATGCGTTTGTTTATAGTGGTAATGCTGTACTTTGGTACCTAAGACCGAATTGTCTTATTGTTTTTCTTATTGACAAAACTCGAATAAAGACTATTTGCTAAAAAAATAAAATTTGACAGATTTTGTTATACTTTGCCAGGTAATAACCCCAACGAACCTTGTAGACACCAGACTGTTCACAACCAAGGCATAGGTGCTCCTCCCATTTGCTTCCCTTTAATAAATCATACGGATTACCTTAAAGCTGACCATGCGCTGGTAGATGTTCGGACAAACTTTTGTAAAAGAAATCTCATCAGAATATTAAATAATGACATCAGACTTGTAGAACTTCATTTAAAATTTGGTTTGAAAAAAAATTCCAAAATCTAATTTTTTTTTAACGAAATGCTACTGGTATGTAGCCAGCTTTAGATTTGTATCCTGTGCTATTAAAGTGGACCTATCATTATAGCTGGTCCACACCATATCCGTTTAATTTAGCTCATGTTGACAAAGGCAGTTAAAGTGTTTTTTTTAAACACTTTTTTTTAAAAACACTTTTAAACACTCGCATTAATGTGTATTTATTTAATGCATCATATTGATGTGCAAATGAATTAAATAAATTATGTAATATTTTTTTCCTTAATGTGGGTTGCTTTGTAATGTGTTCCAACATGTTCCAATTTCACAAAGCTCACACCAATACAACAAGTAAGACAATGGGAAAAGATGGATTTCAGCTAGTTATTTCATTGAGCCTGCATTAGGCCTGTGTCGGGCTGTGTTGCTAAACACAGGACCAATGCAATAGCAAGCCAAAATCTATGGTTTCCAATTTCCTCAGTTTACATGGCGTGAATGGACCCTAAAATTCACACTAATCAATAGGGTACATTAGCATTACCTAATAATACTATAATATCTTGCGTAAAAAAATGTACCTTGTTCTAGCGTGACAAAAAAGAAAAACCTTTCCATCATGTGATCTACAGCTAAGGTATAAGATCAAGTCCTAAAGAGCGCTTGGGTGTTCCACCTCAATACAGACTGAAGAGAATGTATTGTTTTTAGCACTAGTAAGCAGGAATAAGAGCCTGTATTTGTAATGAGTAAACATGGCTGCCCTCATATATAAGTACACAGAATACAGAGGTTTATAAAGATGAAAACAATACCATGCATTAATCAGATTATTTACATTACATGAATCTCTTTAAGTGTAATGAATATCATTAGAAAAAAATATAGATCCTAATTCAACAGCTAAAGAGGACTATTAAAGATTGTTCTATGAAATAGTAGGGTACCCTGATAAGATTTTGCACTGAGGCAGCAAAGTTTCTCATGTCATCTTTTGCTGCCAGTGTCAGTGGGTCGCTTTCAGCACGTGCAGGTACTGTTGGAGCTTGCCCATTACCCCAACCCTCACACTCTTTTTGGCCCATCACCATGATGAGCTGTTTCACTGGTCAGTAGAAATACACTGAAGGTGGGTATAGTGGGTAAGCTCTGCCCCAGCAAAAAAGTGTTGGAGATTTGCTGGTTTATAACTGCCCAGCATTCAGGTGTGTAGTAACCAATTAAGGCCACTTTCATACAGGTATTCTGTCAGTCTGTTTTTTTGTATCTGTGATCAAAAGCAGCCTGCAATGTATCCCTATGCGTCTGTTTACATCCGAGTCTGTTCAGCTTCCAAACGCAATACATTTTTGTGCAGGTTTGCTTTTGCATATGGGCACGCACATCCATTTACATCTGGTCGCCCATGGGGATTCCATCTTATGGGAAACTAAACATACAGATGTCCCATATGTGACATCTATTTCTGTCCTTATTCAAATCAGCAGGGGAGTTGATCCCTGCTCTATGGATCCCCACTGAGACAGAACTGAGGGCTCCCCAGTGAAAGGAGTAAAAGGGGCCTAAAGCTACTGTGTTAAAGAGACACTAAACTCAGGAGTACCTTAACTATTAACAAAAATGTAGCTTATTTGCGTATCACTTGCCTGTAGATTGTCAAATGATATCTACATTGGTGCAGACACCCCTGTGTCCCTGCTTACACACATGCTGTCCCTGCGTGTGTTGTAAGGTAGCCATGGCTCCAGCTCACTCCTGTGCTGGACTATAATCTCAATACAAATTAGTTAACTAAACATGAGATTACGTTCATCACGGGAGCAAGCTTGGAGCGGTGGCTACTTTACAACACACACAAGGACCATGGGAAACAAAAGTAGCCACCCCCCAGAAGGAAGGACAGTGACAGCACCAATTCAGCGATGATTTGAGGATCCACAGCCAGGTTATACACAAAAGGGTTACATTTTTGTTAATAGGGTACTTGAATGCATTTTTAACACTTTAGTGTTACTTTAATGTCCAGGCACCTTAAAATCAATCGGTGCCCAGGCTAAAGGATTTACATATTCCGAAAAAGCAGCAAAGGCAGTTTAAAACAAGCCATCATTCACCTCTGTAGCTATAGACATCGTGGAGAAATTATCTTCAAAGTTTACAACACGGCCACTAAAATCTTAGTTTTTTCCCTAATACAATCTGTTGCACCAGAATATTGGCAGCCTGTCAGTCCTCTAATGTAAACACAAGGTGTTAGAATTGACTAAAATTGACTATGGTTTGTTGTAATCGTTGGGTAGCTTTGAAAATAAATCATATAATAAACATAGGATTGTTTGAGTGTCATAGCTGATGGGTTTTTTTCACCACTATCATGAAATAGATATCTAAATGTTCAAGCAGAAGAGTCAAATTGCTTGTTTGAGACAAATTAGAGGAATCAAAGTTCATTAAATAGCTCCTGTAACTGAATAATAGATGAATAATATACCCTCCATGCTTACACGACTATAAATGTATCAGCTATGTAAGAATGATGTACATGAATTTGGATGTACACCAATAAAGATGTAACTCTGATACACCATGTTTCCTGGATCATTACATTTGGCTTTGTTATCAAATATTGGATAGCTAGCAATTTCCTCTGCTTTCTCTTGTAGTATTCAATGGCAAAAACATAATAGATATTGTCATCTATGGCAAAGCATTGAGTTGTAACACAATATCACATGGGGTAGGAGCAAGCACTGCAAGAATGATTACTTAAATAATGAAAAATGAAACATTTAAAATATAACTAGACACAAAGATAAACCTCATTTTGTTAAACTGCCCACCAGTAACAGATTTCATGTTTGCAGCTTAAAAACTGGTGAAAGTCATACACTGTTAAACATTTCCATGTAGTAAAACAAACCTCCCCAAAAAAACAATGTTATCGAGGAGAGATCTGCACTTATTTTACAGGAAAATCATTTAGGATTCAGTAAAACTTAAGCAATGTAGAGCCGTTAAATAAAGAAGTTAAACATGTGATTTGTATTTTTCTCCCATGTAAGTGCCCATCTGATGAAGAACGTCTCTATTAATTTTACATCCACTCTTCAGAATAAAATCAGTGTTAAATTCAAATCTGTTCCCCCCTCAACCAACATACACAGAAGAAAATGATCCAATAATACAAAGCTACTGAAGTAATAGTGCAAGAGTTAGAAACAACACAACATGGAACCTCTGAGCAGGGGAAAGTTTTTTGGTGATCCTCTATTGTTCTCTGCCAGTTCACTGCATTAAGTGAGCACCACTCACTGCAGCTTATGAAAAATGTGTGTCACAAGCACACCAGAGCAGGTTATGTATTTGTTACATAAGAAAAAAGAAAAGTCAATAATGTACTCTAGAACAGGAAAGGTCACAATGTAGTAGGGTCCAGGTTACCTGTCTTGTCAGTAAGTAAATACACCAAGCGTCCCAACTCCTCAGGAATGGTGCTAGTTCTCACCACAGTGCCAGGGATATTTTCATCTCTCATGATCATCCAGCCATAAGCAGCCTTTCCCATGTCCAGGTTTACTCGCAAGCTGCCAAGAAAATATTGGTTTATTTATAAAGTCCTAGGAAGATAGCATAACTGAAAAAGTAACATATAACAGTCCTTCAGTGGGAAATGACAACCCCCTTCCCAAACACTGACCAGCGGCAGATGACCCTCTTATTTCCACTGTGCAACAGATAAGCTGTTGGTGACTTCCAAGCAAATGGATATATTTCCTACAATTTTAGTTTTCAGTAGTAAAATTGTCAATGGTAATCATATAAAATGGAATGGAGAGCAGCCTTAGCTATGGCAACAATAAATACAGCTTTTATTCTACTGTTTTTATATCATCACAGATGTCCCCAAAAGGGGATGTATCTAAAACAAAAACAAAATATTTGTAAGTTTTGGATAGTGTGGGAATTTTTTTTCAATTTACTTTGGATTGGTTTTCTCTTTCGCTTTCTGTGTTGTCTATGGAACACTGTTTTTAGACATCATATTGAATCCAAGACTTTCCCTACTCAATGTCCACTAAGTTCTGCTCCTTATTCAACCCGCCCTACCCAGCTGCCCACTCAAACTCTGTTACCTTCCTTCCCACATGCTAGTGATACAATTGGCATGAACCTGTAGAGAAAATGCCATCTGGACCACACTGGTGTGAACACTTTCAGGGTTATTCACAAAGGGTGAAGAGTTTGGAGAAGGCAGGAGAAGTGAACAATCTAGGCCAAAATAGCTGATCTGGAAAAAGTCTCCAATTCAGCTCACTTTCCAGTACAGCTATGTTGTCCTAGATTGTAGACTTCACCTGCTTTCTCCAAACTCTTCACCCTTTAGTGAATAACCGTGTTTGTGATCGCGCAGTGTTCCCTCTAGTCACAAGAAGCTCCATTCATAAATACTGGGCCTTGGCAGCTAATAGTGTGGCATGAGAAGGCGTTCCCCTCCATCATCAACAATACTGTTCCACATACAGTATATGCTCAATATACAGCACCATGTTGTTATTACTCCAGTAAGCATTAGTAGAAGAAGAGACAGGTGCTCCAGATCATGGCCACACACCGTCAAACACTTGGCTCCAAACCACAGCTTGAAAACCACTAGTCTAAATTATGCTGTTTAATCATATTCCTATGTAAATCTAAAAGGAACACAAGTGGCTAACAAAGTAATTTATATCCCAAAAACGAATCAATATCAACTACAGTTACATTATTTTGTTACATACCCCATCTGCAGAATATTCCTATGAAGTACTTTCCTGCAGGTCAACTTATTTATTTTCAATAAAACTGGTCTATTGAAATCTATTTCATTAACATTATAGGAGATGCCATTTTATGACACAAAACATAATACATAGAGATAACCATAGGCTAGAAATAGCTGTGTTTGTTACAATAGGATATGCAGCGTGTTGTATTATATCATACAAAGGATAACAGGTCCTTATAAATACATTCATGCTCTACAATGGATTAGATATCCTGATTAGTTTAGTAAAATGAACATTGCACAGAAATACAACAGCATTGCTTTTTGCAGTGATCTCTCAAGAATCAGCAGATTTGCAGGCACTTTCTCACTCTGTTTCCTGATAAGATCAATTTCCTTCACAATGTAAGCCAAGTGTATATTTCAAAAAAATGCAACATTCAGTGAAATTAAACATCCCTGTCTGTCTTTGCTACACACATACCTTATCGGGATGATGTAGGAAAATAGCAGGAAGAACCGGAACAGGTAGCGATACCACGGGCCAACAAACCCCTGCAAGGTTACCATTACAACAGAGAGAGCCACCAGAGCCAGAAATAGCGCCTTTGTTAGCTGGTTGAGTTCAAGGTCCAACAGTCCCACCTGAGCAAAAGACAGAACATTTTTTAACATAAAATATATATCATAAACTTCAGTTAACTGCATAAAATAAATATAATTCACATAATAACTATGTTCCAAAAAGGCATATAAGCTGACTGTATTATTTACTCTGAAAAGAAACTATTATGCTCTTATGTTATTCATTTTTTTCTATGCTGTTCGACCCAGAATATCACAAAAGTGAACGAGGAAAGACTGGTCTAATAATGGCCATCAATTCTGAATCAAAGTATCTTATTGCCAAATATCCATCATATTTGAATGCATTCTCTTTTGACTTTGAAGTTGATAGGGATTATGATTCTTTTCAATTCATCTTTATTTAAACAAGCTTTTTCTGTATGCTGAGAGATACAAAAACTGCTGCAAAAAATATTTTAAAAACACATGGCACAACCACCAGCAAAAACTCTTGAAAATGTTCCAGTCTGCTTGAACTTTCATTTCAATTTAACCTTAGAAAATCATGTGGAAATCTGTGTGCGCACAAACAGTAAACTTCCTGAAATCTGGAAAAGACAAGTTTTCCATTGAAATGAATAGAAATGCATTAAAACACATGTCAACGAGTTTTGAAATGAGCATTTCTGTGTGTTGATGCGCAATGCAAAGTGCTTTGCAACACACCTTTTGTGTTGCAAAGCCTAATTTGAGCAGAATACTACATCTAGCTACAAAGACTATACAATATTATATCTGTTCCCACCAAATTCATGAATATCTATATATTTATAGTAGGGATGCACTGATACCGGTTTTTCAGTATCAAGTACAAGCACCGATATTTATCTTTTGGTACACGCCGATACCGAGAACCGATACCGAGAACAGATACGGGTACTTCAGCTAGCATGAGGCTGGCTGGGAACCCGACTCCATGCTCTTTGGCCGGGAAGCCGGCATGATGCTGATTGACTGGGAACCCGGCCAGGAGACGGGTCATTACCCAGCTGGCTAATTATGGGTCATTACCCAGCTTCCAGCCAATTGACATGAAGTCGGCTTCCTGGACAATTAGGAAGCCGGCTCCATGCTGATTGGCTGGTAACCCGGCTTCCCAGCCAAACAGCATCGAGCCAGCTTCCCAGGCCAATCCGGAAGTCGGACGACAAGTGATTACCCACCGCCCGGCATCCTGATTGGCTGGGAGGTCGGCTGCATGTTCCTTCCCATCTATTCCCACCAAATTCATGAATATCTATATATTTATAGTAGGGATTCACCTGTATCGTTTTTTCAGTATCGAGTACCGATATTTATATTTCGGTACTCACCGATACCGGTACTTCCGCTAGAATGGAGCTGGCTTCAAGAAGCTGCATCAGGAAGCTGGGTGGCGTACCATTACCCGCCGCCCAGCTTCTTGATTGCCCAGGAAGCTGGCTCCATGCTGTTTGGCCGTCTCGATGCTGATTGGCTGGCTGTTTGGTTGGCTCGATGTTGATAGGTGGGGAAGCCGGCTGCCCAGCCAATTGCCATGGAGCCATCCTCCCGACCAATTAGGAAACCGGGAGGCGGGTCATTACCCACCACCCGGCTTTCTGATTGGCCGGGAAGCCAGCTCCATGCTGTTTGGCCGCCCCCATGCTGATTGGCTGGTAGCCGGCCAGACAGCATCGAGGTCAGGAAGCCGGCTCCATGTTCCCTCGCGGCACTGTCGGTCAGAGGAGATCTCCTTCTGACTGGAAGTTCTGGTATCGGAGCATTTGGTCCAGTACTCGTACTCGTCCAAATACTCAGTATTGGCACTGATACCAATACTAGTATCAGTATCTGTGCATAACTAATTTATAGTCTTCTATGAATATAGAAAGCACAATCCAAAGCATCAATCAGCATTAGCTATTTTTTGGGAAAATTATTTTCCAAAAATATTTGGTCTTATAGTTGGGAATGAAGCTCACCTCTAACAATGCTCTGTTTGTAAGTGAAGGAGACACAAACTAACTATTGTACATAAAAGATATAACTACAAATAGGAGAGCTGTTTAACCTGTCAAGATTTTACTTCTTTTGACCATCCAGTTCGGAGATTTACACAGCATTACGCTCAGCACAGCCCTGTTTAGCAGTGCAGGAGACCTGATTTTTCTCTGCTACAGTTAACACTTACAGGTCTTTTCTCTCCCCCAGCCTGTAACTGGACAGTGAAGGAGAAGCAGCAGGCTTCTGTTCTGTGTTCTCTTCTCCTATCAGCATGTTCTCTATTATCCCCCCTTCAGTCTATCATGAATGCAGCTGCCAGACTCATTCACCTTACCAACCGCTCAGTGTCTGCATCCCCCATCTGCCAATCCCTACACTGGCTTCCACTCGCCCAGAGGATAAAATTCAAAATATTAACAGTCACCTATAAAGCCATCCACAACTCCGCCCCTGGATATATCTCAGACCTTGTCTCAAAGTATCACCCTAACCATCCCCTCTGCTCATCCATTGACCTCCTGCTTTCCAGCTCCCTTGTCCACTCCTCCCATACTTGCCTCCAGGACTTCTCTAGAGTCTCTCCCATCCTCTGGAACTCTTTACCCCAACCTGTCCATCTATCTCCCACCTTGACTGCCTTTAGGCGTTCCCTAAAGACTCATCTCTTCAGGGAAGCCTATCCCACCTCAGGGGCAGGGCCCTCCTTACCATCTTGTCTTGAATTGTATTGTAACTGTAATGTCTTCCTTATATTGTAAAGCGCTGCGCAAACTGTTGGCGCTATATAAATACTATGTAATAATAATAATAATAATAATTAGTACATGAGAATATAGTACATTAAGGACTATAACATTACTTAACGGCATTTATGATCCATCTATGTTCTCACATGTGGGTTTGCCCACTCTGAAAATATAAAGATTCTTCTGTATCTATATTTATAAACATACTGTATATTTGTGGATATACTCTTGGGGACGGTGTGCTTCCAATACCTACTATCATTATATAGATATATAAAATGTTTCTATGTAGATATGAACGCAGGCTCCTGCAGCAATTATTTTAAGTGGTTTAAATCTCAGATGTTTTTCTAATTGTCCACCACAACTATGAATACTTAGTAACATTTTTATCCCACTATACAGCAGTCCCTGTGAATGAGGTGTAAAAGTGGAAACATTAAGAGGTATTTTGTAATAAATTTATAGCTACCTGGAGTTCAACAAACCAGACACACAGAAACATTTGTAATTTGTACTTGCACTACAGTAGGATGGGAGGATGGCCCTCCACCACTGCATCATCATAGATAATACATAAAATACTGGAATGAAACCTTCTACTGGCTTATGGAAGCGAGCACTAGACAGTAGACATGATTACCAAAGACCGACTGTGAAGACACGGAGTGGATGTATACACAAACCTTTTGAGGACTTGTAGTCCCCAGTATTGTATTTATGTGATGGATATTTTTTAACCAGTTTGCCAAGAATGCTTAGCAAAGACCTACTTTAAAACAAGGTGGAAAGCATGTCAGCAAAAACATTTAAAAGTTATGTGAGCTATTTATCTCTGTAAACCTTTACTGCACAAGTACCAACACAGCATTCCAGTATATAAAGGGAAACTCTCAGAAAACTATACTGAAAGTGTTGAGACAAATTCCACTTGCTTGTATACAGACTGCCCCTTCCCTTGAGAACAGAGGAGCAAAGGACCACAGTGGCTGATTTATCCGCTGCATTTAAAATGCAGCCCAACAAGGACAAATATCTGGCAATTTCCGCTGCTTCAACTACTACATAGTTTATGCTTGAATTATTGAGAAAAATAGGTTTTTGGATTAAAATGAAGAAAAATTAAGCCAGGGAAGTAGAGCATGTTTCAAAGCCCAGATCTTTTTGCGATGACAAAGGCGGTCTAAGTTTCAGGCCTCGCTGAGGATCAGATGAAGTCATTATTCATTCAGTCAGGGGAAAAAAAAGACTCAATTACCTCAACCTAAAGATGCTATCAATGAATGCAAAGTGCATATTTTACTCTATTCATCCAAATCCCATTAAAAAGTGAAAGGAATGATTTAATCTGGCTTTTCTAGAGTTGGCCTTTTTTTGTATTAAAATAAAGAATTACTGTCTTGCAACATATGTATCTGCTACCTCACACTTTTTCCTGTATCATAGCAGGGGAAGACTGTAAAGCGAGAAAAAAAAGAAAAAACTAACCGGAAATAACAGTTACCTATGCAAAAAAAGCAGAGCACAGAACAAAGGCATTCACATTCAAATATTGTAAACTTTCGTTTAGCTAAGGCATAGCTAGCTGTGAATAGCCCCTTGCAAATGTATAAAACATTTACAAAACATCTTGAAGAAAAACAAACCTTTTCTAGGAGTATATTAATGGTATTTTTGCTGCCAATTCTTCAACTCAACTCAACAGTGAACATATATACCATAACATTATCAAGATATAGCTGAGCCTTCTTGATCTGTTTAAAGCTGTTTTCCACTTAGAAAACCCCAGTAAGATGGAAAATGTCACCACAAGTCCCTAATGGCTGGTGGGCATCACCCCAAAAAAACACCTCTGTAGCATATCATTGTTTCTTATATACTTAATGAGCAGAAGCCATGTAGATGCAATTAACTCCTTTGGTTCTCGCTTCTAATTTAGGAAAGATCCTATACAAACTTAAAAAATATATATTTTAGCTCATGTTGTCTTAAAGTAAACCTATATTAAGAGACAAATGAAATGGAGGATGCGATTGAAATCCTTTTTATGCAAATACTAGTTACTTGGTTGTCCTTAGCTTACAGACCTAGAAAAAGTATGAAACAAGTCAAAACTCCATACTTATTTTGGTCAGCAATGACATTCTACATTTTTCATTCAGTACAATTTCCTTTCAAAATTCAACTGTAACAACAAAAATAGTTATTCATTAGTCATTAGAAGAAAGGTAATCGTGCAGGAAACTGCGCAGACAGAATCGCACACCACCGCCGATCGTGCTGGTGGTGCCAATATTTTGTAATGGC